CTCCCTTCAAGACGAAACGATCCATATACTTATACTTGCACTCCTAGTTCACGCACCGTCATGGCCACCGCTTTTCGCTCTCTGCTGTAGAAACTTCGCTGCAAAGTGTGCACACCAGGTGCCGAAACAGTACGCCAAAATGAAGGCAGGTATCACCGGTCCCGCTTTTGTTGAGTGCACGTAATATATTTCCCATAGCCTCCTCCTCCCCCCCCCCCCCAAAAAAAAATCGCTCTCTTTATTTGGTTCAAATTGCGCGCCCCATAGTAATGCGGAAATGCGTCAAAGCGCATGGACTACGATAATATTATAATACAAGTCTATGGAACGGTCTAAGTCCAGAACAATATTATCCGAATCGTCATTTCTCCGTACAGTGCCAAAAAAGAAATGGCCTATGTCAACGTCACAACGGATGCCCTTTTCTTTAGCGAACTCTAAACGCTATACTATAGGACTACCCATCCCCATCCCGTGTAAAGGTTCTCTATATTGACCTCACTTACGTCGGGGGTAATGGAGCTGGGTAAGGCAAATATTTCCTCGCCTTTTGGGGATACAAGATAGGGCGTAACCCGAGAGAAGACTGCAAATCTACGGGTACACATCTGGAAGACTTAATTGTGTCACGACGGGGTGGAATCAGGCGCTCGTCAATTTTTGAACATAATATGGAGATATTGATATCACCTTGAATCTTGTTCATATGTTGTGTTTTGCTTTTAATAAAAGAAATGCCAAATTATCTTAAATAGAAGTCGAGATATAATAATATACTACTGAAGGAGGTGGGGCTTGCCTGTTTCAGAGATAAAAATCAATGAGAAATTGGCTAACAAAATACTGTGAGTTCCGATGCTTAACTGTCCTTGCAAACTGCAAAATTACAATTATTTTTTTTTAATGTTTGTGCCTCTGATCAACATCTTTCAGTAAAATCCTCATCGAAATGTGCTTTTAAAATAACAGAAAAGGTGTTGACTAAAGAAGAAAAAATAAAAGGTTCGATAAAAATTGCCGAACGGGCGGGAAAGGGTAAGTTTCTTTGATTTCACTATTCTGACGAGCGCCTGGTTTCACCACGACTCCATACAATTGCTTTACGCCACACAGCATAGACCCGGGGCTTTCTGGCCCAAACCAGCTGTGAGCATCTGGTCAAACATGACGTAGCTTGTTTGTCCGTCTGTCTGCCTTTCTGTCTGTCCGTACGTCTGTCCGTAGAAAAACACACTGTATGTCTGTCCAGGGCGAGGGAAAAGAATTGTGGTCAGTTCTTTGCGCCGGACACAAGTCACGTGACTGGTTCACCAAAGACCGATGCGCAGAGAGGCTGCGCGGGAGGACATAGTTTCCTCTTCCTGTGCTCCGGGACTGAAATGTTTGATGATCTGGATTTACGTAAGTAGGGGTTCGTGTGTAAATGATGATGCCGGTACTGTGTGGTTGGGGAGTGGTTGAGGGTGGGGGTGGGAGGGATAGAGAGACAGAGGGAGAGGGGGGAGAGAGAAGGGGGATAGAAAGAGTTAGAGGGGAAACGAGAATGAGAGTGAGAAAGATACAAAGACAGAGACAGAAACAGACGGACAGACAGACAGACAGACAGACAGACAGACAGACAGACAGACAGACAGACAGACAGATAAAGAAGAAACGAAAAATTGTTTTTTTAAAGTTTCAGAGGACAAGAAAGAAAGAGTTAGAGAAAAAAAAATAAAGAGTAAAAGACAGAATGAAAGAATGAAAGAAAGAAACTGTCAGAGCCTAACCATTTCGTTCCTAGTGAGATCGCCAGAAGGAGTGGTTTCCCCTGCCTAAGTAAATTCTGGAACTTTTAAGCTAAAATTCAAATGCAACGGCATGCCAGTGAAAAGTGGCACTTAAGGATTATCTGTGAAATCCCTCTCAGCCTCAGTCTACAATGTTTGTCAACTTTGGACACGCCCACCACCACGCCCTCTTTAACTGCCACCTAGCTCTCTCACAGGTGTAGATCTATCTCCCGCACTTCTGTATGTCTTTGTAGGGGGCACTTAGAGTAGGAAACAAGGTTTACCTTTCGCCCCGGTCACTATCAACTAAATTAGAATCTCTCTTTTCTTTCCTTTCATTATTTCCCTTTCTTTCTGTCTTTCTTTCTTTCTTTCTCTCGCTCTTTCTTTCTTTCTTTCTCCCTTTCTTTCTTTCATTCTGTCTTTCTTTCTTTCTTTCCTTCTGTCTGTCTGTTTGATTTTCTCTCTTTCTTTTTTCTTCTTTCTTCCCTTCTTTCTTTTTTTTTCGTTACCTCTTTCTTTCACTATTTCTTTATTTATTCTTTTTTATCTGTTTCTTTCTAGACATTGTCGGTACACTGCAGAATGAAGCCCTCCCACAACGACCTCAACCTTGTTCCCCCTATCCAGGTTACACTTCTGCTCTCTGACATCATCTTTCCGCTTTCTTCTGGTCTTCCTCTTGATCGTTTTCCTGTTCTTGTCCTCCGTTCAGTGAGTCTTTTGGTCTATCTGTTATCTTTAATTATGCCGATTACCAGCCCACCTATCTCAATTTCGCTCAGGTGAATATCATTAGGGTCAGCGTCATCTGCTTCTTCTCTATCCGCTATCCTCATCATAGGCTCTTCAACACCTCTCTCTCTCTCTCTCTCTCTCTCTCTCTCTCTCTCTCTCTCTCTCTCTCTCTC